TTTGCCTGAAAATAGTTTCCCCTGCTTAAAGGGGCACCAAAATGCAAGTTCGCCCAGGGTGCCATATTCCCTAAGGCTGGCCCTGCTTAAGAGATCACCTGGTCCTGCTGCTTATCCCTTTGCGGAGGCCTTAACATTGTCAGTTCTCTAATCGTTGTGATGCCACAAGTAGATTATGGTGTCAAGTGGGAGGAATAAGCAATGGGTCTAAATCTTGCAGCCCTGACCTCTCTGTCCCTAATCAGGAAAAGTTATCATTGTAGTCAATAAGAGTTTTGCCTGAGAAAGGACTGAGCAAATATTGTGCATGGATATCCCTCTTCTCACCCCTTTGCAGCACTGTCCTCCTCTTTCTGGACTCAGAACAGGACCCTCTGTGGGTCAGGGATCTGTATGTCCAGGTATGCTATGCACACATAACCCTGTCCCCCGCATTGGTCCCTATGAAGGAGCACTGACTTTTGAGAGGTTCCCCCAGTGTGATGAAGAGCCTTCTCTGGGCTAGCAGCTACCCAGAGAGTTTCTAGCAGTGTTGCTCCATGGCAGTTAGAGAGGGGGCAGAGACCCGGGGCCTCCATGGTGATGGCTCTGCCCCATGTTTGAACAAATTGGTGCTTGTGAAGCAGAGAGCTGCACCCCCTTACACCAGGTCTGAATTTGACCCTCACTGTGTTTTTTAAAATAGGAATAATTAAAAATCTGTTAGCTTAAAAGTGACATCTTTGACAAAAAGGCAGCATGGGGTACTTCCATACCCAAAGGGGTCACAATGGTTTAGACAATGAAGAGTGTACAGGTCTTCCAACCAAGGCACATTTCACATGTTGCCTAGGAACCAGTTACCTTATTCAGGCATACACAATTCCTCTCCCCCCGAGTGAATTCCAGTAATGAGCTTATTATATCACACTTCATTGGTGTCATCTGTCACACAGACACACACATAAATGGATGGGCCTTTGATTTAAAACTCACTTATACTCTTCAGACCCAATTGCGTAAGGTCTTATTTCTGATCATCAGCTCCTGAGGCTGTAAGTGGGACACTGTGATACAGACCCTGCATGTTAATGTTTTCCTTTTACACAAACATATTCTTCTACAGAGAAGAACATTTGTTTTCATTTCCGGATGCTCTAGTTTATTTAAAAATGCGCTCCTAATGTCCCACATCCTTGAATGCACGTGCTGTCAATATGCAGGTTCAAGCATCCCCATCCTTTTCTCCACCAGATGGGATCTGAACTCCCAGGCTTCTGAGCACACCAAAGTCTGACTGCAGTGTTGAATTAATTTAACCTTTTGCCTTGGCCACATCTTCATTTAAATTATCTGTCCCTAACGATAATATTAGTGTTGGTACCTACATACAATAGTGAGTGGTGCATTAGAAATGTAGACATATAGACAAGTAGTAAAAAGTTCCATCTACTGATGCATAATGCCACACAGAAGCATTACTGTAGACAGATGTTTTACTGGAGGTGAACAAATCTTCTAAAAAATGTTATTCCATAGTTTTATGCTGGGGTTTGGGTGAAGCTGGTGGGCATAACAGCCATCTTTCATTCAGGCTAAATGTAAGAAGCAACTAAGCTCCTTTTGGAGTAAAATAGCTGAAGCCAATAGGAGCCACTGCCCAAAACACATGCCACATGCAAGGCTGGTCAGGAGCAGAGCTATGTGGATGGAGAGGTTTCACTGGGGGTTGAATGCAAACACAGATGGCAGAATACTGCTTTGGTGGAGGCCTGTGTTTATATGTGAGCAGATGGAGCCAGAAACATCACAGACATAGACAGAGAAGGCAGCAGAAAGCCAAGAATAGCTAGAGAAGAATTTGCAATGTGATCAAGAAAAAGGTAAAAGAGAGCTTTTGGGGTACAGTGCTGGCTGGAAAAAGAGGCTTGGAATAATGAGCAAGGAAATAGTCTCCTCTTGTTTGATTCTTACTGTGTTCAGGGAAACAGAACTTTGTTTACATTCTTTGTAAATAAGCAGGTTTGCATCAAAGAAATCCCTGACACTATTATCAATTTCTCCTCCTAACAAAAACAACCTGCAAGACCTTGAATATTGGCTATCAGCTCAGGTCAAAAGGGGTAACAGTAGCATCTTAATCATCTTAACATTAATTGGTAACTTCAGTTGGGAACAAGTTAGATAATTTCTCAGAAGTTACCAGCTTGTGCTATGAGTTCACCAGCTCTCATGCCCTACACCCCTTTTCCTGGGGAAGGCTCTTCAGCAACTGGATGTGGGAACTCCAAAGAAAACAGAAATGCTGCAGGAAATAGCATTGGGGATTCCTTAGGTGGCACTCTTCCTTCTGAGTCAGTATTGAATCAGGTTTCAGAGTAGCAGCCGTGTTAGTCTGTATCCGCAAAAAGAAAAGGAGTACTTGTGGCACCTTAGAGACTAACAACGAACGCTTATGCTCAAATAAATTTGTTAGTCTCTATGGTGCCACAAGTACTCCTGTTCTTTTTAGTATTGAATCAGTGTCCCAGGGGCACTGTGCAGATATAGGTGACGTCTTTCGACTAAGATGTAAAAACTGACCACATGTGGTTAAAAATCCCATGGCACTTTTTGTGAGAGTAAGTCTGTTAGCTCAATGGTTCTGATCAACTTTCACTTTTGGTAACTACATTCCACCTCCTTTCCTCCCTCCATCTGTTTCATTCGAATAAAAAGTCTGGTGTGTCATGGTGCTGGCTCAGAATGGGTAATGCCTTTGTACCCCAGACATACCCACATTGCAGTGATGATGGTGAATTAAGTGGTCCTCATAAAGTCTGTCCATAACTTCAGGATCCTTTGGGATTATGGGTGCTATATAAATGAAAGATTATGAATTGCAATGCTGCACATCAGTAATCCTCTTTTCGTTCTCTGGGAGGATGTTGGATCGTGTTGCTCTGCGCTGCTCTACACCTGCAACATTTCATTGCAGAGGTGGCTGGACTTCAATAGTGGGTGAAGTGACCCTGTCTGTTTTTTAGTTCATTCATCAGCTTGTAGAACTATTTGGGATCTTCAAGGTTGTAAGGTCAATGTAAATATATTATAAATAATAATAATCTACATTTCCAGCACATATATATATTGGCTAGATGATACATGGAACCTTTTTTGCTACACCAACTGAGATTTGTCATTGCAGAGGCTTGTGTTGGATGAAGCTTTTACTGTTTGATTTTCTGCCCTTCACGTCTCCGATTTAATTTAGCAGCAACACGTGGCCTTAATGATATTCTCCAAGGTTAAATAAAAATGTGAGCACAAACCAAAGTGTTACAGAGACAGGGGCTTTTGTTACAGAGGCAGGGGAAGGAAGTATTGTTTGTGATTAAGGCCTGTGACTCAAGACACCTGGATTCTACTCCTAACTTTACAAGAAGCCTCCTGTGCGACCATGGGCAAATCACTTCGCCTTTCCACGCCTCAGTTTCTCCATCTGTAAAATGGCAATAATGCCATTTATGTGTGTTCTGAGGTGTGATGCATTAGATTTCATAAAGTACTAAGAGCCTTGATCAGAAGGTGCTATAACAATGCAAAATGGTATTAGGTGTTCAGAGAGTATTTTGATGGGTGCAAAAGAAATAACGAAACGGAAAACATACAAGTACAGTTGTCTTAAATGCAACTCCACTCTCCTTATTTCATGTTTTAAAAAAATCATATTCACTAATTAGAAGAGCTACAACTCAAACAACAGGATGGTCTGGGAGTCAGATCAACTGCCACACATTTCCAATACATGCACCATCCATATGCATAGGTCATATGCTGCCAATGCACAGGGGTGAATTTCACTCTTCACCCCTCTATGCGTCAGCTTCCCAGCCTGAAAATAAGGATAATAATTCCTTAACTCTTCAGGCTGTTGTGAAGTTATAAGCACCACTGGAATTCCTATAATTTCATTTTAAGCAAACCAGGGCATCACCTCGCACATCCTCGCTTATTTTGCAGTGAAGTCCCAATGCCAAACCCGTGACAGCATGATCACTTCTGTGACTACGTATTGTGATGCCATAAATAGGACTGTGACCTCATTAAAGGATCTTGGAGAAGATGTAGTTGTAAGGCTCTCGGAGGCACTTATTCAAATATGAATATCTCTGATTATAGCCAAGTGAACCTAGGAGATGTCTGGCCATTCTTGTATAACTGTTCTCTTTTTCTTCTGATTTGTTCACATAACATAAGAGAGGCAATAGAGTCTAATGGAGAAGGCATTGGACTTGGTTGGAATCAAGAGACTTAGATTCTAAGCACGGCTATCTCATCAACCTGCTGTGTGATCTTAGGAAAGTCACTTCTCTTCTCTGTGCCTTAGCTCCTCATCTGTAAAATGTGAATAATGATACTTACCCGCCTTGCCACCTGAAGTGCTTTGAGATCTATGGACAAAAAGTGCTATACCTGTACATGAAGTAGCTATTTTATTAGTAAATAATTAATAACTCCTCTTTAAAGAGACTTTATCAGTATAAATATATATTTCTTTAAAATAATCTCCTTTTCTATCTAATGGCACCTTAGAGGATTAACACAGAACGAGTTTTACAAATCTAATTTACTGTTCAATATTTATGCTAGATTCCCATTTTTCCCCTAACTTCACTCAACTTGGACAATGAAACTAGGCGGGATAGTTTCACTTCCTGTTTTTAAACAGTTTCACTTCCTAATCCTCAGGCATTAGCAAAATATTGTATGTGGCAACACTGAAAGTGACTGTTTACATTAAAGGCGATTTGACTGACCTAAAAAAACTCATGAAAGCATTTGTATTCCCTTTCTTTTACTGAAACTTCCTCTTTGTTTTCCCTTCACTTCTTCTTTTATTTTCTTAATGTAAAACCTAAATGTTTTGCCTACCTTTATTTACTGATTTGGACAGTGTCCCTTTCAACACGTAGTCCCTGAATTGTAGCCAGTTTTTAACTGACCCTCTAAATATGGTCCAAATGTCAGTTATCACTTACCTCACCTCGCGTGCAAGGCACCGCATCTGAATACCTGGAAGTGCACAGAGAGCCCTCTTCAATAAGATCATCTTGAAGCCCAAACGTTGCTGTACAGTTGACAGAAAAATATCTGTAGGGCCTCCAGGTCTGTCCATTGTCCTGAGACCTCTCCAATACCATAGCAGCTGGGCGAGGTGACTTGAACACTACTATGACATGAGTCAGGTAGAATGCTGTTTCCAAGTCCAGCCTGATTTCTTCCCTGTGTACCCCTTGTGCAGACTGCCACCAGGAGCCAGGGTTTAGGAAGAAATTATCTGTCATATCAGAGGGAAGGTGGGAGTTATCAGGCTGATTGGCATTGCATTTAGTGCATCGGGGCTGCCCACAGCCTTGGGAGGCCCAATGAAGGAGGTTCTGGTCTGGGTAGAAGCAGTAAAGTTCTGTGCTGTTCTGCCCACATGTGGTAAGAGAGACTGGAGTCCTGCCTGTTGCTAGATTCCCTACAGGAGGATTGCAGGAGTGGCCATCACAGCGGAAGGTTCGTAGCTTTACTGGATCTGAAATACAGTAGTAAGAAACAAAACTAAACAGAATTTCTCAGGCCACTCTCATTATTAAATATAGGGAAAGAGATACAAACTTCTGACAGTCTAAACCATCATGGAGACACTTGTTCATCTATACCACTAAAGAATTGTCAGAACATTCAGCACTACAACTGAGGACAGATTTTTTGAAAGAACTCCGCGTGGTGGGTGCTGGTCTCTTCAGAAAATTTGACCTACTTGTCACAGTGTTAGTTTCTGGGTGAATCTAGCCTTATTTTAGGTGCCTAACTGGGAACTGAACTCTTCTGAAAACCTGGCCCCAATTGTCAACACTGAGCACTTAAAAATCTGGCCTTGATCTCTTCTGAAAATGAGTCTTGTCCAGTATTACACATCTATATATCTCTTTAATATTATCTCACTTTTGTGTTATCTCACTTTTATTGTACCCTAGTGAAGCTATGCACCTACAGAACAGGTATACTCCATGTATTCTATATTATTTGTTTTGCAAAAGTGCCTACAGGCTCCAATCAGGGATTGAAGCCCCATTGTGCTGGGCTTTGTACAAACATATAACAGAAAGATGGTTCCTGCCCCCAAAATTAAGGCCAATATTTTCACATATGGGTGCCTAAGGTTAGGTACCTACATCCATATTTCGGCTCCACCTAAGTGGCCTGATTTTCAGATGTGTTGAGCATTAACATCACCTGGAACTGTGGGGTTTTAGCAGCTCTGAAGTATCAGTTCCCTCATTTAAGTACCTAAATATATTGTCAAGTGATAAAGTTCAGGCAACCAGGTTTGCAAATGCTGGACAAAATGTTTAGAAACCAAGTTCTACTGATTATACATTATTTTTTTTCTTTACAAAAGTTCTACTATTTATATACTTATTTCTTTAGAAACTAAGAAAATTTAAAAAAAAACTAAAAAAACCTAATATTTACATTTGTTCATCTCTCTAGTTCCTATATGGAAATCATTAATACCTTGTGACATTGAAGTTATAGGTCTCTCCCAAGACCTTATTATCAGTCTAAGGAGAATCATCTTTTTAATGACATACGACACATTCTTCATTTCTTAATGGTCCAGAAGGAGTTAAAGTCTGACCTTACAAGGTCATAAATCTAATCTGAGAGGGGGTCACAAGTCAAATCCTAAGACTCTGTACAAATCCTACAGGAAATAACCATTTCAGAGAAACTTGGAATGGCCTTAAATGCTTAGTAGTCTAGGAGAAGTTCAAAGATCAACTGTTCATTCAAGATTTAGCAAATTATGGGCCAAATCCTGAAATCCCTATTCGGTTTTTCTTCTGTCCTTACTCAGGCAAAATACCCTTTAAAGTCAAGTTAGGCCTGGGAAAAGACGTGAGGATTTAGCCCAATAAAAATATGGAAATCATAAGCATTGAACCATAAAGTCCAATTTATGGAGAAAAAAATGAGCCCAGCTCATGTTCCTTGTTTCTCTTCTGTCCTTCATTTTGAGGTAGATGGTGGCATTTATGCTGCAGATCTCAGGAGTGAGTGGTGAGGATCTCCACTGGTCCAAGAGAAGCTCTGGACACAGATTGTGTCTCAGACGTACAGGCAGGTGCAAAGTCTTTAGGCAGGGGTGCTGGAACAATTTTTATAGTGGGGGTGCTGAGAGCCATTGACCCAAACTGTAAACTCTGTATAGAATGGAAACCACTTCAAGTCTGCGCAACCCCAGTTCCAGCACCTATGTCTTTGGGGCTGCTTGTGAACATGTGTAATACGTTTCCATGCCCCCCACAAAGTGCTGGCCGTACTATGCAGACTAGTGCAAAGAGGGGGCAGAGCCAAAGGCCAGCCGTGCCCCAGCAACCTTCTCCTTGCAGGGTGGAGAAACAGGAACAAGCAGTCCCTCAAGCCTGTTGGAGCCCTGATTGTCGGAGCCTTCTTGCACATGCCTCCAACACTGCATTGTTGAGCAAGGGCCTGTAATGATCTTGCCCTTTGCACCTTTGTCCCGTATTTGTGTACCACAGGCTAAAATGTAGGAGTCGGAGGGACCAAACTATCAATCTGGCATCTTAAAGATGCAGTAAATTAACTGAAAAATTAAGAAGATTTTAAAAAATATGTGTATCAATGGAGCTCCAAGGCCTGCTGATAATAATAGTTCTACAGACTAATACTGTAAGTGTATTGTAATGAGAACCAGAAATCAGGCACAAACCATAATCTCTTGGAGTCCAAAATGCAGATCTTTTTCCCAAGATTTTCCCTTAATATCATGAATTCTTCAAAATCCGTAGTACTGGTCAGCCTTTGCAGCGATTTCAAGACATTCAGTTTACCCTGATGAACACACTAACCTCGCTTAGTGTCTGAGCCAAATGTACTGTGCAATATGGGCTCAATAACCATTTTGTTCCGACCCCTTTTCTGGTTGCATCTCATCTTTTGTGAACCTAAGTAGCAGTTCTGTGTGATGCCGAATGAGGCCAGTAGTCCAGCTAAGTACAAGTCAGTACGTGCTGATAGGTAGAGCTAGAAATATTTCAGTTTTTCTTGCTGAAATGAAAGACTGAAAAAAATGTTTCAGAGCAAACAAAATGTTTCATTTCCAGATTTTTTAAATCCTTTTTTGGGGGGAGGGGGAGGGGTAACTAAATCTAGCTAAATTTCTAAATAAAACACCGTTTCACAACAAAAAGTCAAAAGGTTTTGTTTTTAAAATGTTGAAACAAATAATTTTGACTTTTCTAATTTTATTTTCTTTTTTCTCAGTCAAAACTGCATTTTCCAGTGAATAACCTATTCATCCAAAACATTTTGCCTAGCTCTCCTGATGGATTTTCTACCACAGCACAATATTGCAGACTAAGGGAAATGAACATTTTCCTGTTGAACACCCCAAATCAAGAGAGACTTAAGGGGAAGACTTGTATTGATTTATCAATATCTCTGTATCTAGGGTTTCTACACAGTACATTCCCCTTGTAATCTGTCCTTTATGCCCTGCCCTGCACTTGCCTCTCTTCGCAGAACAGAGAGAGTGATCATGGCCCATTTCATTTTGGTATCAATTTTTATTTTTAGATGTCGTGTCTTTTAAGGTTGGAGGTCCAGAAATCTGGAGGTTTTTTTGCAAATGATGTAACCTAAGTTACATACTTTATGAATTATTTTATTTACATGAATGACAGCAAATATCCGGATGATCAAAACTTAAGCATGAGAAGGCTCCAGCATGGGATGAGTTTTAAGAACATTAGGACTACAATCCTGACTGGCTAAGGTATCTTGCTGGGTTGGTGTCCAGATAACGCTGGTGGTGCCCTCAGGCTCTGGCCCTCTCTGCTCTTTGTCCCAAATTGGGTATAGTACTGTGGTTGGGTTGCTAACCCCTGGTGCTGGCTGCTGCTTGCCCTGTGTTAGGATGGTGATCTGGCTACTTCCTGCCATCAGCTGGAGATGCTTCAGCCAGGCTGCTAGCTCCTGACTGGGTGACTAGCTCTGCCTAGTGCTACTTGGCTGGGGGTCTCTGGCTCAGGCTCTGCTTGTTACTCCCTGAATACAGCTTACAAGTTCCTGTGGCCAAGGATTACTGGCCAGAGCACTGCCTGTGAATCAGGCCCGCAGCCAGACCAGAGCTGCTCTCTCAGTTCCCATGACTCACCCGGGGCACACCCCCGGAACCTCAATTGGTCCCATGACTCACCCCTCGAACAGAGCCAGCAGGGACTCATCATTCAGGCATGCCGCAGCAACTCAGCTGCACTGACTCATCCTGTAAGTAAGGTCCTACTTAATTTGCGATATTGCGGAAATTGAGGATCCTGCAATATTAGGTTTCCACCATAATTTTTATTTTAATTGGCTTACTTTGCGCAGACCACAATTTTGTATACATTTTGAGGTTTGCAACGCACACTTTTTTCCCCATTAGTACAGTATAACCCCATTGGTGAGTAGAGTCCTTGGTTGGCCAACAACTGCTCTGACTGGCCTGCCACAGTTTTGATATATTTGCTCTCAGGTTATCAGTTGTCACTTTGAACTGCATCTACGCATTGCATGGTTATGGGAGAACGTCAGAAGGTTCAGAAGCTTAATCTGAAAGTTTGTCTGTAGTTTATCTGAACTTCTCTTTTTCTGGGAAAGGGCTTAGAGATCTTCTGAGGTCAGACACCTTAGCGCTTCCTGGTTTCGGCCTTGTTGCTGCAGTCCTGAAGCCTTACAATTCCATCTGCTCTGCAGGGTGAGTTCCATTGAATAACACTGAGTTCTTTTTTTAAAAAAACACCTCGCTTCTGGCAGATGAGGTAGAATTTTAAGGCTCTCAGACTGCAGTGCTCTGAGGATATCTTTTCATGGCATTTTGGTATCTGAATTTCCTTATTTTACCTAGCCTAGCTTGTTAATGTCTGGTCTCTGTCTCGTGAGGTTTCATTAATGAGCTCTGAGACCCTTGGGTGAAAGGCATTGTAGAAATGGAAAATACGGTTGTTCCTGTATTAAGTTTCTGTGTTTAAAATGGATCAGATATTATCACCTCAATGTGGTCAGTGCTGTACAAACCAGAGCAGAAGACATTGTCTCTGGTTCCAAAGAGCTGACATTGGACTGGTCCTACCTACTTCATGCTGAAAGCCTTCAGTTTGTATTGGCCATAACTAGAGTTAAGAGCCTTTAGTGCTTCTCAGGATCAGGCCTTGAGTTAAAAATGCCATTGAGACATGTAATATACCATATGGCTAGAGGAAGGTCAATCTATAAAGTTGTGTGGACAACTGTCCCTCTTTGGTGAATCATCATGGAAAGCCTTCACAGAGTATACAGCAGCAAAGATTTGAAGGAAGACACAAATCATTTGGTACCCAAGGAAAGGGAATGCGGGAATTCTAAGTATAAGAAACAGCATGGAAGAAATCATGGAGCCAAGAATGGGTGAAAGTAAGGACAGGAAACTGCTGTTTCTTTTAGTTCCTGTTGGTGGGCTATCAGTCTGCTACTGAATGTTCTAACTGTATTTAATGACACATGGAAAGTGAGAAAGAATGCAGTTGCCCTTCTGATCAGCAATGACATAGAAGTTTATCTGTTTTGCCTGCTAATGCAGCAACAGCAATATACAGTTCCTGTCTGAACTGCTGTGTCATTAGGAAAAAGGAGAGCACAAACTGCAAATTAGCGAAGGGGTGTTTGAGGGAAGGAGAGAGAGGAGAAACGTTCTGCAGTCGATTGGGAGCCTTGTATTTAAAGAAATCAATCTGCAGGAGCTTGCTCGGCCTCCTGATAACAGATCACTCAATTGTTTCATGGCTATGACCTGAAATGTGGAGTCAGAACGGCGAGGGCACTGCTGAAGAAGGGAAACAGCAGCCAGGAAGCCAGCAACCTCCCCCGAATGCCAGGAGGGGCTCACTGAATAATTTATAAGAGGCTAAACCATCAGACCAGCGCACGGGTGCTGCCTATTACTGAGGCTGATTAACTCTGGCTCCCGCGCTGGATGGCTTGGCCCAATAAACGAGGCCGTGTATTTATTTATTTATTTGTTGCTTCCCTAAATGCTGTGCAGTGAGGCAGCAGCTTTGTGGAGGGCGGCTGGCAAATGACAGTCTCTGATGATTATTGAGCCATTCAATTGGAGATGGCTCACATGGCTGAAAGGACGTACTGGACAACTGTTCAGGCAGCAGTGGCTAACTTCAAATCCCCATTAGCCATCAGAGCCTGACAAATGTTAACTGAAGCCATATTAAATATTAAAAAGTGCATTTTTCACCCTCTCTAGAGGCCTAAACAGAAGAAATGGCACCAGGCCACTCATTTGGGGGCTGATCTAAAGCCCATTGCAGGGAATAAAAAGATGCCCATTGACTCCAGTGGGATTTGGATCAGGTCCTTTATTTCTTGTCAACATAGAGGACCACGAAACAGTGTTTTAAATGTCTTCAGTTGTTCAAATCACAAAGTTCTGATCCATATTTTGGACACCCTAAAAATCTGGGGTTGTCCCTAGCCTATCTCTAGTATTGGTGGATTCACTACAGCTGCGTTTACGATAAGCCAGTTTCACACTGGGGGGGTGTGTGTGCAGATTTCACTTGTTTTACTCTGTTTACCTGTCTTCTTAACAGCTGAAAAATTGTAAGTATGCATTTTTAAAGCTAGCTGTGGTCGGGAGACTGATGTCTCTAGGGTTTAGTAATGAGCTATAGACTCTTTAGCTTCCCTTTGATAGCAACCAAAACATTTTAGCATTTGTTGGCTGGTCAATGGCCCCTGTGAAATGAGTTCGGTGGGTCTCAGTCCATTTACCAGTGGCTAGATATTCACATCACAAAAACCTCTCTCACAACTGGCACTAACAGTCCCCCTTTGCTGCCTAAGAGGCCAAAGATTGTATGAGCCGTGGTGACTAGACTGTCTCCACTCCTATGGGTAGTCCCATTCCACATGAGGGTTGTGGCACACCAGCAGGAGGTTAAAGATCACATAGAATATGACAGAGTATAAGAGTCTTAGACCCAATGTCCTGGCCAAATCCCAGCTCGACCAATTCCATTCTGCTTGTCTAAATCCCTCCTACAGTCTCAATTATATTGAACACGGCTGGCGTGATTTTCAGAGGTGTTGGGGACTCACAGATCCCAAGGAAGCCAAGCCACTCTGCTAAGTTAGCCCACTAGTGCCCATTGGCAAAAGCAGAATAAGCAAAAATCTGTGCTACTTGGCATTACTTAGTGAAAGTCTGACAGGTAATTATCCAAGGTCAATTTTGTTTCAAAAAGAACATACATCTGATTTTAAGCTTTGTGCTACAAATGGCCATTTTTGGCCAACCCACGCCCCCTTTTGGAGAGCTGCCATTAGGAACGCAGCCATGAAGAACCGCCCACTCTCTGGAGGGAGGGCAGAATGCTGGCAGATCAGACCGTAAGAGCGTGAACTGCTGTCAGCCTTTCAAGCTGACCCCCCACTCAGGACACTTTTCAGAGCTCGGCAATGGCAAAGGGAATAAGGCCCTGAGTCTAACTGAACTAAGGCAAGAGAGAGCATGAGTTTCAAAATTGCTGACACCCTCAATTTCACCCTTACTATGTTACCTTTAATGGTCTAAGGGACCATGCACTGGCAGAGGGCATGCATCCGACATACATACCATCCTCCATCAGGGTGCTTCAATTCTGGCCAGGAAGGACCAACTCCCAAGGCAGGGAGGGGAGTTTATTGTACAGTATTTTGGCCAACTATCTGAATAAACAGCATGTGAGTCCTTTAAAATGTCATGACTCTTCAGCTAGATTGCCCAATCTTCAACCTTCAGAGCAGCACTAGACCTGTTTTGTCTTTAACCGCTAGGTCCCACACCCTTATGCTCTGTGTGTCTGTAAGACAATACAGAAAAAAACAAACCATTCCAGACCTTCTGAGCAATCTGCTTCATGCTGCGGCTCATTAAAAATTCACTCTGGCTTTGCAAATCTTACACAAGGCAAATTTCAGCTGCATTTACGATAGATTTTCCCCTAAATTCATTTTTAACTATGTGTTCCCCAGATAGTACCAATAGCTCGACAAATGACATTTCTGTACACATCCCCACTTGTGTGCTGCTGGGATAGTCTCAAGCAGGGAAACTAGCTGTTGCCTCAGATGAGAGACTAAGGGGCAGGAGGTGTAAATACATGATGGGAGATACTATGCACTTCCCTATAACCTTTCCCTATAATGCTGGGATAGCCAGACTCTGATCTGATTGAAGATAAACCTCTGTATGATGTAGGAGAATATTTCTCTGGTTACTGTGATTTCAGTTCTTTTTACCTTAAAAAAAATTTGCAGTTATGGAAATCTAATGTCTAATCATGTCATAAAATATAGTCTAGTCAAGGAATAACCTGTGCTGAAGCAATCTTGTCTGCATCTTATTTTAACAGAGAGAGGCAGAAAGCAGAAAATGTAATTATCCTTCAAGACACTGTGTGGAAAATGATGTTATCAGCGCAATACTCTGGACACGCAAGTGAAATTTAAACCAGTCTGTAGCCTTCTCTAAAGAGAGAAAGAGAGATCCTAAGTCAATTCCCTGATGAAAAAGACACATGAACCAACCCACTGGCTCCTCTCCTGTTTTATCAATACTGTTTTCATATTTTTCTGATCTGATCACCTTAGTTCATCATAATTCAACCTGTTTTTTATTATTCTTTCAACCTTAAAGATGTATTAAACCATGGCAGGCAAAGCTGTTCTTCCACTCCAATGTCCAGTTTCCATGCCCTCAGGGGAGCCATTCTTTATCATAATCGAGATATTTTTAGAATCCTATGTAAATACCAGTGCAGTTTAATCAAATATGAAAAATGTCCAGCTGCTATGCATTGGTCCTAGTCCTACTGACTTTCAAACATTAACCATTTTAATTTAAACTTGCCCATCAAATCCTGATCAAAGTAAGAAGAAACTTGAGTGAATGGTCTACCTTATACAGTACCAATAATATTTCCTAGATAGAATGGCTCTGTCTTTTAATTATTTTTGTAATAAAACTAACCGTAACATAGTTCAGATCTTTTCAGCAGTGCCATCCAAAGAAACTGGCGTCTGACTCTTGTCCTATCTAAGAAGATAGTATCCCCTATCAAAATAAATTATTGGAATATCTCAATTCTTCCCCACCCATCCACTGAATTCTTTCTTTCTTTCTTTCTTTCTTTCTTTCTTTCTTTCTTTCTTTCTTTCTTTCTTTCTTTCTTTCTTTCTTTCTTTCTTTCTTTCTTTAAATAAAGACAATATGTGATTTTCTTGTAATAAAATGAGCTGATAAATTGCACATCCTATTTTAATTCATAGGAAAGGAGAATGGGGTATATAGGAGGAAAGAAAAATATGTATATTGGTTGGCCCAGATTCCTTGAAGAAAGAAAGAAAGAAAGAAAGAAAGAAAGAAAGAAAGAAAGAAAGAAAGAAAGAAAGAAAGAAAGAAAGAAAGAACCTTACTAAGAGACTTTAAATATCTACTTTCCCTTCTTCCATCCCCTGCTCTTTTTATTTTTTTTAAAGTTAGGTTTAACTGTCCCATGGCTGACAATACTGACTGATTTTTGCTTACCTGCCTCACCGTGACCAGAAACAATGTATTCCAAGAACACAATCAGCATGATGCCTTTATGCTGCATGTCTGTAAGGGGGAAAATATCTGTCCTTAGTGGAGCAAAAAGAATTTCATAAATCTACAGGTTTGGTGTCTGCATTTTCTTTCTTTCTTTCTTTCTTTCTTTCTTTCTTTCTTTCTTTCTTTCTTTCTTTCTTTCTTCACCTTCCTCTCAGGGCAGGGGTCCTGGCTGGTGTCTCATTCTTCTTGTTTTATTTAAAATCCAGACAGCTTTCCAGGTCTCAGATGGCTTCTATATGCGTGACCCACATTGCTTCCAAATAAATAAATGAATGGATAGATGTTACCCCTTTGCATCCAGAAAGTAGGTGAAATTCACATCTCTGACACAGCCCTGAGACAAACCATCACTGAGGAAGCAAAGCAAAGCTCAGGTCTCCGGTCAGATCTGATAATATGCAGTTATTTTACTTGCTCTTTTAATCTTTCACTTTCATTTGCGGTCCTTGCTTCTTGGGTCCCCCGCCCCCCTTATCCCCTCCCTTCGCCCCCCCCCCGCTGCTAATGGGGGTGCAATTAGGGGCTATGCACCCTTGCTTTGTTGTGAATTTTGTCCTAGACAGTGCGCTCTTCCCTTTTGCTCCCTGAGGCAGAGGGTCATAGGAAGAACCAAGTTTGCTTTTCTTTCTGAGAGATGATCGGACAATTACTCCTCTCTCTCTCTCTCTCTGTCCCTGCTCTCACTTCTCCACCAAGGGGCTAGCTTCACAGACTGGTCGTCAAAGGGTAATAATGAAGTCACCGCTGGTGTCAATGCACACAGAATCGATTGCCCCCTTTTACTGTTCTTCTCTGCCTCCTGGGACTTGATTTGTTCCTGGAAATTATGACAGATTAGGTTCTTGGTGGGGAGGGGGTTTAGGGGGAGCATTTGGTTAAGGGGAGCTGGGGGTTCGGGTGTGAGAGGAGGGGGTTGGAGGAACTATTCCTCCCTCCCATATGCCTTGCAGAAAAAAGGGGGCGAGAAAGCCTCCCTTTTCCTATCTGGACAGGGGTTTCGCCCCCTCGTAGTGCTATTTAGTAATCTTCAAGTTTTCTCTCTGCCTCCCTTCAGCAGCTAGCACATCTCTCCGTCCTAACTGACCAGCTCTGCCCTCCGGTCCTGTCTGGCTGCAAAGGGGATTATTATAACATGTGATCTTCTTCCTGTTCTTTATACGTTTTTTAGAGGCGGCGGGTTGGGGGGGGGGGTGTCGTTTCCACACACCCTCGGCTGGGCTTGTGGCCGATCCTTGCTTCAGATGCATGTCTTATTTGTTTGCCAGCCGTCTCTGCCTCCTCCAGGAGCCAGGCTGGGGAGGGGGCGGGGGGCGGAGAGGTTAGAGCAGGCTTGTCACTTTCAACTCAGGCGCGCCCCAACTTTGCTCCTGTGCCTTTAAATTAAATACCCAGCATGTGAGCCCGGGGGCTCCTCCCACCAGCTGCTCAGCTGTCGCCTCTGCAGCGCCCTCTATCAGGCAGCCAGGCAAACGACACCTGCCTGCTGCAGGTTACTAACCAGACAGAGAGAGCGGGGAGCAAATAGCATCCAAAGCAAGGAGGGAGCAATGAGCTCAGAGGGTAGGAGGGGATTTCAAAACCAATTGCAACTGATCCTCTAGGCCAACCTGCCAGGCAAGATGTGTTAGGTGCGTGAGCCCTGCTTTGTACAAGGCACAAAATGAGACAGTCCCTGCCCCAAAGAACATACAGTCTATAGCCCTGAGCTTGCAAGCAGACAGCAGAGCCACAAAAGCAGTGCCTGGTCCCAGCTTTAGGACTCGTTTGTCTTCATGGGGGCTGGCAGAGGGTGTAAGTTGTTCAGAGCACAGAACTCATTGCTTGAGGGCCCAATCCTGAAAACACAGCCCTGTCTGACTTTTTTTCAGGTGACTAGTGTGGGCCTGACTCTTGTCTTTCTTAAACCTACCTTATGCCAGTGTCACTCCCTGGGCTTTTGGGGAGTTATTCCTGAGTTAAATTGCACTCCTGAGACAGAAGCAGGCCCAATGGGAATCTAAACAGGAGAAAGGCAACTCACCTGCCTGAGTGTTTGCAGGATCAGATCTTAAAATCAGAAATAAAGAATCTTTGTTACAGTGGGAAACCTAGGGAAGGGAGTAACTGGGGAGGGGGGAGAGAAGGTTATTTGTATATTTTTGTGTATTTTCCCCCCTTCTTTTAAAACTGCTAGAATGTTGCATAATAATTATGCAAAATACTCCAGTCACCTATTATAAACCATGTGAATACTGTCCTTGTACTCAGACCAGCAGGGTTCAGTGGTAGCAGAGGATGTGCAACACCTCACAGGATCAAGCTCCATATAACATTAATGGAAAGCCTTTCTTCACAATGCACTGTTATCAGTGTTTAAGATAAGAACATAAGAATGGCCATACTGGGTCAGACCAAAGGTCCATCTAGCCCAGTATCCTGTCTTCCAACAGTGGCCAGTGCCAGATGCCCTGGAGGGAATGAACAGAACAAACAATCATCAAGTGATCCATCTCCTGTCACTCATTCCCAGCTTCTGGCAAACAGAGGCTAGGGACACCACTCCTACCCACCCTGGCTAATAGCCATTGATGGACCTATCCTCCATGAATTTATCTAATTCTTTTTTGAAACTTGTTATGGCCTTGACCTTCACAACATCCTCTGGCAAGGAGTTCCACAGGTTGACTGTGCATTGTGTGAAGATATACTTCCTTTTATTTGTTTTAAACCTGCTGCCTATTAATTTCATTTGGTGAACCCTAGTTCTTGTGTTATGAGAAGTAGTAAACAACACTTCCTTAACTACTTTCTCTACAACAGTCATGATTTGATAGACCTCAATCATATCTCCCCTTAACCATCTCTTTTCCAAGATGAAAAGTCCCAGCCTTATTAATCTCTCCTCAGACGGAAGCCGTTCCATACCCCTAATAATTTTTGTTGCCCTTTTCTGAACCTTTTCCAATTGCAATATATTTTTTTTGAGATGGGGCGACCACATCTGCACACAGTATTCAAGATGGGGGCATACCATGGATTTATGTAGAGGCAACATGATATTTTCTGTCCTATTATCTGTCCCTGTCTTAATTATTCCCAGCATTCTGTTTGCTTTTTTGACTGTTGCTGCACATTGAGTGGATGTTTTCAGAGAACTATCCACAATGACTCCAAGATCTCTTTCTTGAGTGGTAACAACTAATTTAGACCCAATCATTTTATATGTATGGTTGGGATTATGCTTCCCAATGTGCATTACTTTGCATTTATCAGCATTAAATTTCACCTGCCATTTTGTTTATTGCTGCACTTATGGAAAAGTCCAGTAGAATTTAATAGCAAAAAATAATAACCTTTCTATACATTTTTCAACCCTACTGTCAAATTTAATAGACAATAATATCCCTGTTGTAGGATTCTATAGGATTGTTCAAGGAAACCTATAAGAGAGGGCATCATTCTCTTTTAAATGCTATAGGTTTTCAGAATAATTTCTATAGAACATTATTTAATTTCTTAAGAACCCTACTGATTTCACCCTTTTACACCTCATAGAACAATGGACCTTAAGTCTGAGATGTTCTCATTTCACACCTGTTCATTCTTTTAATATTTTTTCTCTCTCTTTTTTTTTTCCAGATTATGGGCTCAATCCTGGAGTCCTTACTCAGGCAATTCTCCCAGTGGATGTCAGCACAGACATAGGCTGTGGCTCTGTGAATGCAACAAGGGCCAAAAAGCAGCTGCACAATTTAAACAAAGGTTCAAAAGTAAGATTAAAGTTCATGTTTTGTGTTAAGAGGAAAGTCACAGGAAGCATATTTGTTTGTTTGTGATGTTTGAATGGGAAGAGCCTTAGCCACTCTGGTTGTTGTTGATCATGGTGTATAAAAGCCAGGTAGAAGAGAAACCTTATTTTCTCCCTGCTATTATTATGTAGCACAGCAAAATCAGTAGCAATATTGAATAGACTGATATATATTCTGTTTAAATCTGTTAAAATTCAGGAACATATAATAACAGGAACCTATGTGGGGTGGCATCCTTATTGCTATTATGGATAACAGCTGTTAACAGAAAGAGAAACTGGTCAGGAGTGAGGTACAGTACTATCTAGAGGTGTGACAGAGAAAGCTCCCAATATTCAGTTATGAGATTATAGACAGGTCAAGGCACAAATCATGGAATCGCTACTCAGACAAATCTCCTTTTGAAGTCCAGCAGCCTTACTTTGCGTGGAAGGCAATGTGACTTTGGTGTGTGCAAAGAATGTAGGACTGGACCAAAGGTATCCCAAAATGTTAGCAGAGCAGCTGCAAAAAAAAAAAAAAAAAATTCAGAGAATAAACAGCAAAATGGTAAATGATTCATTATTCAGGGAAGGAGGGAAGAACCAATGGGACTTCACAGTGTGAGTAGGTGTGTCGCCTGGGGTGTTTGTCCTCAGAACTTGGGAGACATGTTTGCAAAAGCCACAGGGTAGGCTGTTCTCTCTGAGGTGATCTCATAGCTACTGCACATCCCAGGTGCTTACACACCTCCCTCTCCACTTCTCATTCCCCTTGAACCAGCCTTTTCTTCATCTCCTATTTTCCCAGCAGACATGTCTAGCCTGGAGGACATTTGTGGGGGGCTTCCACTACATCCCCTGCCAGAAAACAGAGGGCGAAAGAAAGGAGTACCTCATGCACCTGTGAGAACCCCCAACCTCACCGCTCAGGAAGAAAAGGTAACATGGGGTTTGCGAGACCAAGCTTCCCTTCCCACCAGATACCAGCCATCCAAAGCAGCAGGGCTTCTGCCTCAAATGCTCCGCAGGGTTTGGCAGCCAAAGTACAAGGCCACTAAATAAGTTTCCTTGTGGCTTTAATATCACGGAGCTGTCAGCTAACGGACAATGCCGTGGGGACTTGTCTGCTTTCACCTCATTGCTTCTCCCCAAAGAAAAGCTTGAGACACGTCGGTGGGGCAGTGTGGGAGAAGCTTGCACTGCACTTTTTGGGGTAAACGGGACTTTAGGCTCTGTAGCTGTCAATCTAGCACTTTTCACTGGACATTTTATGAGCATCCCCTTTAAAAAAAAAAATCCCTCGTGTATGTGTACAAGGCTTAGCCCACAAAATTGATCAACACAAAGTATGGAAGCTCAACACCTGTTTACTAACCATCCGCATACATTCCATTTTGGTTTTGCATTTTAAGATGTTACAGGGAGAAATATATTTAAAAGCCTAATCAGAAACGTCCTGGTGTCCTCTGCTGAGGCACAGACTTCTCGGGTTTGGGTTAATGATTTGTTCTTGGTTGTGCAATTCTATCTCTTTTTTTTGTTTGACTAGGTAGCTTGCACTGTTAGGTAATCGTTAGGCTCAATCCTTATTAGAGATTTTTAAAATTTTAACAGTTAAAAGGTTACATTAAAACAAAAGTCAACAGGGGTTTTGCGTGTTCAAGGGCAGCAAGTGGGTTCCT